AGCCAGGCTTTGTTGAGTTCTAGACTTTCTTCTTTTTTGTTGAAGCTGTGCTGGTGTTTGTGGATTTCAATGGCTTCCCTGTGTAGTCTAACATAATGATTGCTGGTGTTGTCTAGTACAGTACTTCTGTATTTTGAAATAGGATTTCATGTCCAGCTTATTTCCGGGCATGTTCAGCTACTGCCAATTTTTCCAGTTGTTTTAGTCTGCAGTGTCTTTCATGTTCTTTGATTTTGGTGTGGATGATGCATTTTGTCATTCCAATATACCTGGCCACAACTGCAAGGCATCTTGTATACTCCTGCAGTGGTGAGGGGGTCCCTTTTGTCCTTTGCTGACCATAATATTTGTTGCATTTTTGTAGCGGTCCTGAATACTGTTTGTAGGTTGTGTTTTTTCAAGTTTCTCCATGTGGTCCATGATTCCTTTGATGTATGGCAGAAATAGTTTATTTGTGGGTGGCTGTTTTTCTTCTTTAGTTCGGTGTTGTTTTCTCAATTTGACGGCTCTTGTGATTTCATTCTCAGAATAGCCATTTGCCTATAGGGCCCAATTCAGATGGCCGAGTTTGGTGCTGAGAAATTGAGCTTCACTGTTCCGGTTCACATGGTCTACCAGTGTTTTGATTCTGCCTCTTTTTTTTGCTGTGGGTGGTGGTTGGAGTTTTTGTGTAGGTACCGGTTTCACTGTTCCAGTTCACATGGTCTACCAGTGTTTTGATTATGCCTCTCTCTCTCTCTCTCTCTCTCTCTTTTTTTTTTTTTTTTGCTGTGGGTGGTGGTTAGAGTTTTTGTGTAGGTACCGGTCTGTGTGGGTGGGTTTTCTGTAGACCTTGTTGGAGGTCAGGTTGGTGTATGACCATGATATCTAAGAAAGGGAGTTGGCCCTCTATTTCTTTTTCCATAGTGAATTGTATATTTGGGTGGATGCTATTGAGATGGTTTAGAACCGACAAAAAGGACCAAAAGCTGACCTCACAGCTACAAATACTCAACTATCCCACGGACAAAAAGGACAAAAAGCTGACCTCACAGCTACAAATACAGTACTCAACTATCCCATACACTACATCAGAACACAGACAGAGTTCTAGCTCCTGTCCTCTGAAGATGCCACACAGGGACTGGTGAAACGTTAGGAAGAAAAACCTCCGGAACACAGCCAAACAGCCAGAAACACCTACAACAATCTTTATCCAGGTTTATTTAGGCTTCCCAGGGATCAAACATGTGAACTTCCGGATTGGAAACAGGCTTCTACTTTGTGGTCTACCTCCCAGAGCTGTGTCTTGTGAACACTGATTAGGACACTACAAAGAATAGGTGCTGGATCAGATCCCAGAGGATTCTGCTTACGTTCTTGAACATTTTAAAAAAAAATCATCTGGAACAACTTCAAGTTTATTAATTTATAAAAGTGATAGAACAAGTGCATAAATAATGGTTACAAGTATGTGTGTCTTGGGAAGAGCCGTGGAAGGAGCAGGGCAGATGATCCATCCCAAACCGAGGCTGTGGTGTAAATGTGTTCATCTGAAGCAAACTCGCTATATTGGCTCTTCCTTGATTTTGTTTTTTTTTTTGCTTTAAAAGTTGGTTTCTGTACAAATAAATACACAACCTGTATCCCACCTGTCACGTCACAAATACAAAAGGCAATTCATCTTTCTTTCAGCAATTAAAAATAGTAATAACAAACGTACAGGCTCTGTACACTTTCTGACAATCCTGTCTTACTCTTACCTCTCCACCACGGCGGTAAAGACCCCTAGTGTACCACCTCATCTGCTAAAAACTAGACCTAAGTGTCCATTAAGTTACTAATCAAGGGTCAAACTAGACATCAAGAGAAATGAGTATTCCCTGCTATTAGCATGTTCTCCCCTCCAACAATTGGATGTACTCTTAGACACGAGCCTTCGCAATCAGACTTGCAAAATTAAGCCCGTGTTTACCTTCCAGAGACCAATCACAAACCAAAGCAAACTAAAATGCTGGTAGAGCTCCTTTTTTTAAAAAAACACCGCTTGACAGAGCACCCCTCTAACTCTCATTTTGTGGGGCAGTGAATCTGCCACTTTTAGTCCAAACTGTGAAGGTTTTGTCCGTGGTCCTGAACCTATTTCGATGATCGATTTCTGCATCTTGGCCAGTTCCTATAAAGTTTGGGGCAAAAGCCAAAGCAGATTCATGCTGCTCTGTCCTCAAAATCAGAGCCAGCAGCCTCCACGGTGCTAAGCGCATTGTCTAGTTTGACCCAAAGAGAGGTATGCCACTTAAACAACATACTTCCACATTAGAAAATAAAAACCCTGTAAACCATTTCTGCTGCATGGATTTAGCATCTAGTACTGTATTGGACAAAATATTGAAATCTATATCATAATAGGTTAGCAAGCGTCTTGGCTACAGCAGCATTATAGTCCTCTTGTTGTATCAAGCTGACTGGGCCTTGGGGCCACCTCCCCTGGCCATGTCTGTCTGTGGGTTCAGGCATGTTCAACACAGGCACACACACAAATATATCTAGCCCTCCCTGGAGGTGCTTAGAAGTTGGATCCTTCTGCGGATTAGACAAGAGCCGAGCCCTCTTTCACCTTAGTCCAGAATTGAATGGTTGTGCTGCATCTTTGGCCAATCTCTGGGGATCATCCTGACCCTAAGACCGACCCCTGTCCCAAGCTTGAGGGTTGCACCAGACCCTCCATATGAAACTGATTTTTAAATCTCTGATTTAAAAAAAAATCTCCTTCCGGTCTACGGATTGCTAGTCCCACCAATGTAGACCCATTTAATCAGTGGCTCTGAACTTTGAGTCCTGGAATAAAACGAAGTCCTCACCGCTTGCTCTGCTGGCCAGGATTCCTGGGAGTTGTAGCTCAGGACCCAAAGTTGGGAACCACTTTATTAAATCAACAATTAGATAGGGAGTCAATCCTAAATTTTACTGATTCAATGGTCCTGATCTAGTTGGGAATAACAGCTGGGTTTAGTTACTTTTTTTGGGAAACCAACCAACCAACCAACCAGCCAGCCAGCCAGCCAGCCAGCCAGCCAGCCAGCCAGCCAGCCAGCCAGCCAGCCAGCCAGCCAGCCAACCAACCAACCAACCAACCAACCAACCAACCAACCAACCAACCAACCACAAATGCATTTTCCACTAGAGCAGGATGTGGAGAAGATCCATACCTTGTTCTAGAGGAGAGAGCTGCTGCTCTTGGAGGCTTCCAGGGGCAGCTCACCACTAATTATGACCCCCGTTTCAGGGAGACAGAGGGGGGATTAAGAGGGGTGGCACCAGAAAGACCTCAAGGCCCAGAGGTGGCTCTTGGCAGCATAATTCACACCGTGGCAGCAGAGGCCAAAGTCACTCATACGTGGCAAACAAAATGGGCTAAAAGCCAACAGGGTTCCAGTCTCACCTTTTTATAAAAGGCAGCAGACACAACACTCCTGGGAGACAGGCACCTACCCACGACAGCTTGTGCCTCGTAAAACTTGTAGGGTGGCACAAGGCTCTTGGCTGGTTGTCATGGACAAAATGGGGCAACCGGGAACTGGCTCAGGCAGATACATGCAAAGGGTACGGCAGTGAGATGATTAATATGGATAAATGTATGACCAAGCAGGAACAGATATAGTGAAAAAATGGTAGCTGCGAAAGTGGCCCCTAAGTTTCGCAACATGCAATGGGTCTTCAAGGCCAAGATAGACATTACAGGCCGCATCTAAGGGTGTAATTCTGCTGCTTCTGCCAGAATTCATGACCTCTCTCCCAGATTTCAACTCCCACACGCCCTAAAACCTGATCCTGAGGGTTCTACAGAAGGAGGAGAAAAAGATTTTGCATTGATCTGCAGGGGATTGAAAAAGGACACCATTAGATCTTGCTGTGTGAACCATTTTTAGGTTGTTGTTCAAATAGAGCAAATCGCAGGTGTGTGTGGGATCCAGAACAGGTAGTGAGGTGGCTGGGGATTTAATCCTGTGCTTCCTGCTGTGGCTCCAATTAGAAGGGCTGGAAAGAGGTGGGAAGGGAGGCACGGATCCAGAATGGGACCATAACTGGGATCAAAACACACTTCGCCCAGGGTCCCTTATCCATCATACCTTACTTTGCCTCTCTGTGAAATTGCCATTCTATTGCCAAGTCTACAAACTGGTACAAAAGCTGGTGTTGCTCGCATTCGTACAGTAGGACACCCATATTTGCGGGATCAGTATCCGTGGCTTCACTTATCCATGGTCTGAAAATATTAAACATAATAAAAGAAAAAATCCAGAAAAAACTATTTTCACATGTATTACCATAACAGGCCACCAGATGGGGCCACAGATGGTGCTGTGACTACTTGTTAGTGAAAAATACATAGCATGGTCCCTGTTATTCTCTATTGGCCAGTTCTGGTAATGCATGTGAAAATATTGTTCCTTTCCCCCCCTTTTTATCATGCTGTATGTGGAACCAACCCCCAGTGGATATGGAGGCCCTGTTGTATGTTCTTTTTATACCACTGGATAGCTCTGTGGTTTAAGTCTCTGGCTGTGGGGCTGTAGTTTGGGAGTTCGATTCCCCACTAGGCTTCCTTGATAAGGGCTAGATTTGATGATCCACAGGGTCCCTCCAAGCCCTGCCGTTCTAAGATTATTATTATTTATTATTACATGCACCCACAATGTGACTTCATAAAGGCAACAAAAATGCAAGCTAAAAGGGGCCATAACAGTATCTATTTGGCTAACTACATGGCACTGACCACAGCATGCTTCCATCACACACACACATACACACACACACACGCACACACACAAAGCAGGAAACATTTCATAAAGAAGCTCTCCCAAAAGGACTAGGGAAACAGAGCCATCTTTGCTAATGCCCCGTTCCAAAAACAGAGCTGGGAAAAGTAATATTTTTTTTCCAACAAGGGCTTCCAGACTCAGCGGCCATTGATCCTGGTAGCTTTAGTCCAGAAGGGAGAGGCAAAAAGTTCTGCATCATGAAAGGGCAAATGACATGCATGTAACTAGCTTTTTTTTTTTGGCCAGTGTTTCAAAAGTAAATCAGTTTTGGGGAGGAGGCTTAGACAAGAAGGTAGTGTGCTTGACCCTTTTCCACTCTTTTTTGGCTCATCTTCCCTTAAGTACTTTCTCCCATAGGGATTGGAGGTGTACTATATTTATAGAGCCAAGCTGCTTCCTAATCTTCTCTCTTTCCCCCACTTCACCAAAGCCCTTTGCTCTTAAACCAACAACCCTGAAACCAAGGCAGTGTCAAACATTTTAATGCACCATGTGCCATTGATTCCCAAGACCATGCGTTAGAAGCAGAAAGCCTGAAATCTACTCCTATATTTCAAACTCATCAGCATGACTGTCTTTCTATTTACAGGACGATCAGGAACCCACCTATTCTGACCCGGGTCATTGCGAGGCTTCCCATGGCTAGAGGAGATGCCACCTTCGCAAACCCCTGCACATCAACATTTCTCTTTGCAAAAACAAACTTTCTCAAAAATCTTTTCGGGCCATGACCTTTTCCACGAAACTAAACTCTCCCTTCCTCTCCTACCGGTATTTCTTTATTTATTATTCACTTTTATTTGTATCTCCTCTTCCTTCCTGGCTAGGGACTCAAGGCAGCAATTGCTCAAGGCCTTCTAAGTGCTGTTCTGTGTTTTTTTTGGGAGAGAGATGGAAAAGGTCTGGCCCCGATCCATGCGCAAAGCAGCACGTTATGCTGGCCATGAGATGAATATTGAACGGCGTTATACGTTTGGTTTTCAGGGCCCTGGCGAAACAAGCAAAAAGAAGCCCGCAGTCCAGCTGCAGAGTTCCGTAATGTCATCTGGGATGCGTGGATGTGTTTGTGTGGATGTGTGTGGAGGCGTGCAAGTGTGCCTGAGCGCACACCCTTCTCTTTCCAGTGCTGTCTTAGCAGTGATCCCTTTCAGATTTCTCCAGGTACAACACTTTCACCAGATCTTCCAGTTCAGTCCTGCACACCCGGCTTTCACACATGTGGCGGATCTGAGCTTCGCCCTCACTGAAGATTTTCCACTGGCCTAAAATGAACAAACAAGAAAACACAGTTCACTCAGGTGCTCTTGGTAGCAGCTGCAGCGATCACAGCGATGTTTTCACAAAATGCCTACACCCCCCCCCCCGCAATTTGCACAAAACGAGACAAGGGCCGCTTTGTTTTCCCGGGCCTTTAAGGATCTGAAGAATACGATGGGTTGTTCCCATCTTTCTTAGCCATCCTCCGTGGCTTGCTGAGATTGGTTAGGGAAGGGAAAAGAGGCTGGCTTTGCATAAATACGTTTCCCACCAATGATAGCAACCCGAACCACCACAAAAGCTCCTTGTGTTGCCCTCAGATGGAGACAAAGAACCTTGCCATTTGTTGTCGATGTACGCCATGCAGTCAAGAGAGCCTAATCAGTAAGGATGAGCAGCTGAGTTAATATTCTTCGGGTGGCTAGCTAAGATTCAGGCTGATACCCGCCGTGATTCCCCACTTCCTGTACCTTTTAGTTTGGATTCAGTCAACACACTTGTATACAACTCAAGAGGTTGTGGTGGATCAAGGGATAATTTTTGTGCTATAATGGTTCGGATAAACAGCCCCTTGACTCACACTAATGAAACGGAGATTACAAAACTTTTCTGAAGCTCTCGCCCTGCCGTTTTCTGTTTTTCTTTTGTCTCGCTGCGGCCAGACCACAGCGTGACATCAACGAGATCAGATGATTTGTTTAAACGTTCTGGATCTTGACGGGCTTGTTTCACATTCCGGACTGATTGCATCCCAATGTGTAAGAGCACATTTTAAGCCAACGGGGAAATTTAGGATGGAATCTCATGTACGCTGACCTGAGTCCAGGCATCACGGAAGCCGGTGGGGATTTATTTTTGAGTGGGGGCATAAAAGGTTGGGCTGCGTGTCTCATTTCCCCTCCCACACCCCCTTTAAAGGTTTCGTGAAAAGTCACAATAAGATGGCCTGACTTACTCAGAGTGGTCCTTGTGATCTGCTTGAAGTGGGGCAGTTGTCTGAATTCACTCATGGAAATCGTCTCTGTATCAAACTGGCTCAAGACACCTTGATCAGAAGGGTTAGAAAAGCACATTAAGCTGGGGGACATTGTCTGGTTCTCAATTAATAATAATAATAATCATGTATCATCAAGTCAATTCCATTGACTCTTTTCTAGGTTTTCCAGGGAGAGAGTAAACTCAGAAGTGCATTACCCTTCCCTTCCTCTAGGGGCAACCTTGGGATGGTGCAGCTGGCCCAAGGCTACCCAGGCTGGCTCTTCTCCCAGGAGGCACATAGTGGGGGAATCAAACTCCCAACCTCTGGCTCTGCAGCCAGAGACCTAAACCACTGAGCTATCCTGCCAGCTTCTGGTTCTTAATACTATGCTTTAAAGATCTTGACTTAATGGGCAGTGTGTGGTCTTAGTAAAGGTAGGGCACCACTGTATATCAGCAACCACCTAGATGTTCAGCATGGAAGAATTATGTCCCTCCAGTGGAAAATGGGTTTGTTTGCTTGTTTGTTTTACTGTATGAGCTGATGGCTCATTGCTGTATTTGCCCACTAAGCAAAACTAAGGTTTTCCTGGAAAGTGTGTAAAACAATTTTACCTATTACTGTCTGCAGGTGGGTAGGAAAAAGGGTTACTCCTGTATTGTTTGAGGAGAAGTCATGTTAATCAGTGTATACCCAGATAACAAAAGGACACATCCCAGAAACATTCAGCAAAAACAGAAGGAACCTTTGTTAGCCATCCAGAGTGGTGCTTAGGCACTAGATGGATGGGGTATAAGTCAATGTATACCCAGATAACAAAAGGACACCTCCCAGAAACATTCAGCAAAAACGGAAAGAACCTTTGTTAGCCACCCAGAGTGGTGCTTAGGCACTAGATGGGCGGGATATAAATGTAATGAATGAATGAATGAATGAATGAATGAATGAATGAATAAACAAACAAATAAATAAATAAAAGCATCACTCCTTTCATATCTACATCTTGCCTCTCTGGTTGTTAAAGGAAGCAAAACATTATTTTTATTTTGCATTTGATGTCAGGGGAGATATTAACTACAAGCCTGAGAAATTTAGGAAGATTCATAGAATCATGAAATGATGGAATTGGAAGGGCCTGTAAGGTCATCAAGTCCAACCTTCTGCTCAATGCAGAAATCCGTCAAAGTATATTTCTTTCTTTCCTTCCTTCCCAACATGGTGTCCTTCAGATGCTTTGGATTACAATTCCCATGGACCACAGAGAACAGCGGTTGATGATACTTGTAGTCCGAAAGATTTTGAAAATACTAGACTAGAAGGACTGCCTTAGATTTTACTATGTTTGGAGTAACAGAATTTCACAGCTTCAGAATCATGGGAGGATCTAATGCTCTGCTTACCTTTCCGGATGGTCCACACATGGATTTCCACTTGAGGTGGCTCATCTCTCACCACGGCTATTTTTCGGACAATTTCTTCAACTTGTGTGAGGACAGCTTCATAGACTGGAAGTGTCTCTTCACCACAGAAGTATTCTTTACTGTCCTGGTCTTCATCTTCATCTTCTTCTGCAGGCAAAACAAGTGATGCATCCACCTTTTATTTATTTATTACACCTTAACCCAATATTTTCTCCAAGGATTCCATGAGAAAACACACATTTCCCCTGCCTTTTATTTTTCAACAAACTAGTGTGGTGGGTTAGATTGAGAGTCAATCAGGTCAAGAGACATGCATATATCCTGTTACTAGGACATTTTCCCTACAGATCTGTATTCCTTCAAAGCACCATGCCCAGATAGACAGACTTGCAGATGAAGCCTATGGAGACCAATCACACACACAGTATTTGCATCGTCATCCATACCTGGGCAGACTTTACAGCATTTCCCTTCAATTTTCTTTGGCTGCCGGCAAGGGTATTGCTCGGGGCAAGTGATCTTCTTACACTCTTGCTTGGTGACGTTGCAGGTACACAACACACACTCCACAATTCCGTACGATCGGAGGTTAGGATGCCAGGATTCCCCATGGGAGTAGGTTTTCCCATTGGAAACACACACTGCAGTGAATGAGAGAGAAGCAAACAAATGCATCAAAGTAAGTTTTAAAAAGAAGAGCAAAGAGAGATCAAAGATGATGAAGGCAACGAAGAGGATGAAAGGGGCAAAGAAGAGGAGGATGGAAATGAATACTATATGGCCCAATGGGAGCAAAAAATCCCACTAAAAATTTCAATCTGAATGCCTTTGGAGCTCTTGAAGGTTCTGAAAACAAATCCCAAAATCGGTTCATAACCTTGGACAGCTCCTCTAAACTTTGGACTAATAGCCAGAGAGGATTTACCACACCTGTGGAAATTGGGGCCACCCCCTTTTTCACATTAACTGGCACTTACAGCCTCAATCACTCACTCTGAGACATTAGTAGGCGAAATAATAAAAGGCTTAATTTACTTACAATTGAAAGAGTGATCAACAAACCAACAAACACAACTGATTTTCAGCAACAGACCCCAACACTTCCTAGCCTTTCCCTCTCATATGTCCCCACCACCGGCTGGCTCAGAAGCACTTTTTGCCCCAGCCTGCACCTGTCCTGCCTCTGTGACACCACAGCAGCCCTCTCTAAGATACCCCAAAGGGCTCATCCCCTTTGGTCTCAGGTTTTGAGGCTGTAATCTCAGAGAGATGCTAACCTGGACATTTATTGTTATCTGGAGAAATTAGTTCCTTCTCCAACCTCTCTGACAAATTCTGTTGAGCTTAGAAGGAACGGGGCACCTGAAGGAAGGGGGCAGAAGACAACGTTTTCCTTGATGATCCAAATTCCAAGCATTGGAAAGCTACATGTAGGGTAAAATAGCTGGGACCCAGGATGCCAAAATATAGAAGGCACACAAATTTGATGCTGGAAGGATGCACATCCACTTGTTAAGAAACCAATTAGATCAATTAAAGAGTAAACCACATAGTCCAGAGATCTGAGCCCATCTTGATCATCCCCGAATATAGGACAAGCAACAATGAGCTTTAGTTACAGGAAGCTAGATTTCGGCTGAATGTCAGGAGAAACTTCCTAACTGTTAGAGAGGTACGACAATGGAACCAACGACTTTGGAAAGTGGCGAGTGCTCCAACTCGAGGCATTCAAGAGAAATTTAGACAAAATTTAGAAATCAAATCCTTTGACTGGGATTCCTGCCTTGAGCAGCCGGTTGGACTCGATGGCCTTATAGGTCCTTTTCAGCTCCATTATTCTATGATTCTATGATGTGTTGATACAATGCATGCTTTACAGCACAGTACATGTCTATGTACGACATCTATTGGCTTCCTAGGCATGTCTACTTAGAAGTAAGCTAAAATGATTTCAATGGGATGTGTTTTGCTCCCTCCGTGCATTTTGTTTTTTAATTTAAAAAGAAATAACTTTGGCCCCAGGACGTCCCCACTCATTGGAAGCCGACAGCCCAGCCTCGCACAATGAGGGATGGGAAATCTACCAGCCAAATCTGAGAAACAAATTTGAGCTGGCTGCTGTCCAAACGTGCCTTTCAAGCTTCTCTAAACATCTGCAATGAACTTCATGGTTGTCGATTCGGAATTCCAAGAATTCCGGATTGTGTAGATTGGCGCCAAATGAATGAAAAAGCCAGGGCTTCGAAACGGCCCTCCCGCTCAATGGGATGACACGTCCCTCCTTCTCTTAGGTGAAGCAGTTGAGTTGGCTGATCCTCGTCTTTAGTTTTCATTAGAAATCGGACCCGTTTGCAGGGAGGGCAGGAATCAATAGGCGAAACCAACTGATTGCTTTCTGCAATTCCCCTACACATGGCGATAATTAGAATTAGAATTAATAAGCATTGCATGCCATTAAGTCAAATCCAAATTACGGTGGCCCTCTCCTAGGTTTCCTAAGTGAAGAACACGCAGAAGTGGCATACCCTTCCCTTCTTCTGGTGGTGGCCCTCTCCTAGGTTCCCTAAGTGAAGAACACACAGAAGTGGCATACACTTCCCTTCTTCTGGGGATGCCCTGGGACCGTGCAGCTTGCCCAGGGATACACAGGCTGGCTCTTCTCCCAGGATGAATCAAACTCTCAACCTCTGACTCTGCAGCCATGTGCTCCGGCCAGCATGCTCACTGCTCTACCTTCCTCTGGATCTCCCCTCTTTTGCACCCGGACTCCCTTAGCTACTGGCCACGCTGTTGGGAGTTGCTGGAGCTCTGATCATTGCAAACAGATAATATCTGTAAGTTGTGGTCTGAGCCAACTAGACACAGGCAACGACAGCAGCAAATTGAAAAAAGACAACGCATGGGTGAGGCAGGTAGCTTTAAAAAAGCCTGCCACTCTCCTCCTGTTGAATAATAATAGCCAGCTCTGACATGTGGTGTCAAATCGGGGGGGGGGAGGAGAAAAGAGGGGTGTTTGCTAAGCCTATCGTCCCCTGCTAGAAATATGGGGTGTCTCAATAGCATGCCCCCTTTTTAACTGCATTTACAGAAGGCCCATAGAAATTAAAATCTGTTGCCTGGAGACTCTGAAGTTACCTTTCCAGTTAATTGATTACACTCACACTAATTGAATTTAACCCAAGAGAAGGAGAAAACCTTCTTCTTGGCCTTCTGGTTTCCATCCAGGGGGAGGTTGGGGGGGGGTGGGGGGCGGGACGGGAATCTCTCAGANCTGCCACCTCCGAGGTCCTCAAGCCACCTCCGAGGTGGTGCCGCTGTGCCTAAGCAATGTGCTATTCATTTGGCGGCTTTTATGTACCGAAGCAAATCAGTTAGAAACCGCTTTGATGGTATCTGGGTGTGTGAATTGGGGGGTTGGAGACGTGGCAGCAGGGAGAGGGTTCCCTCCCCCCCTTTTACTTTTCGGTTTGAGATCCAACATGAAACATCAGCCTGAACCGAATGTTATTTCATGATTGTTCAGGTGGATAATAAAGACTCTGTAGCCAACATTCCTCCGGTGAATTAATACCGTAAAAGATCGGTTGGACATAAATCAAAGGCTTTTAACATGTCACAGGCTACTTTTCGAGAGCCCGTGGACTGTTGGTTTTTGGGAGAACGGTTTTCTTGACATTCAAATCTCTCTCTTTTAGGTCCCCTTTCAGGTTGCACCCTGCCAACCTTGAAGGCTAGTTCATGCCACCACTCGCCCAAAATCCTGTGCCCGGGTTGGGATGAGCGGCACCGGGGACCCTCCTTTATAGTTTTTGGTGCACTGTGGAGGTTTTCAGAGCAGCCGCTTACACCGAGAGGGGTAACTGTGGTGTCTACATCTAGAGCCCCGGGGTCTCGGGACCCCCACCAGAGACGGGGGGGTGATGATCGGGGGAGCACAGAGTGGGGCACAAGCCTCTTGTAACATCAGCCAGCTTTTGCCCCTTGAAAATGGTGGACTGACTGCATAAATGAAACTGCAGGTGTAGAAATAAGGAGCAGAACTATTACGGATCAGGGCAAAAATGTGGAAACTGAGGCCGTCTTCCTTTGGGCACCTCACGAGAAGACAGGAATCTCTGGAGAAGACCATCCTGCCGGGAAAGGTGGAAGGCAGCAGGGAAAGAGGAAGACCCAATATGAGACGGGCGGACTCTCTAAAGGAAGCCACAGCCTTGCGTTTGGAAGAGCTGAGAAGGGCAGTGGAGGACAGGGCATTATGGAGATGGCTCAGTCATGGGGTCGCCATACGTCGGAGGCAACCTGATGGCATATAACAACAACAAGGAATGCAGAGATGCTGAATTAACAGTTCTGCACCAGAAGGTGTACCAGAGAAGGAAGGGATTTCAAATGCATAAGAAAAACTTACAAAGGCAGATAACCAGCCTACCCTTGAGAACCTCCTTAAAAAAACAAACAAAAAACACACACCCAAACATTCAACCTTTTTTTTTTTTTGGCCTGCAACTTCTGTGGATCTCAGTTCTCCCTGATTTTGATGATTCCCCCCCTCCTGCCCTCTTAGTAGCAAGCCAAAAGGTGTGTGACTTGGGCAGGTTCCATACAGAAGGATTTGGCAAATCAAAACTTTAAACAATTGCCAGGCAATGAAGTCAGCGCAATGGACTCAAGATACGCAAGGAAAGGAAAATGTATTTTTAAAAGCCAGCATCTCCGTGTTGGAGAGAGGAGGGCAATCTAGGGTCAAGGTTAAAGGCAGTATCTTTGGGAGGGGTCCCAGAAACTCAGTCTTGTTATCTCCTCTTGTCTTGTGCTGATGCCAAGCTCTCTCGAAATTTCACAAAAATTTCAAATAGTATTCGATAAGGAGATGGGCGTTTGGTCCACAGAAGGTTGGGATCCGTCCCACTGCGGCTCCTGGCTAGTTCCCTTCCAGCCATGAAGGATCCATCATCTGACTACTCTTCCCAACCTTGGGTAGAGTCTCAGATGTTCTTGGACTACAGTTCCCAGAAATCCTGGCCAGCGCAGTGAGTGGTGAAGGCTTCTGGGAGTTTTCGTCCAAGAACACCTGGGAGACCCAAGGTTGGGAATCACGGCTTTCTGAGCTGTCATGAGTCAGATGGGGGAAGACAATGATCCAATATATCACTGCCAATCAGAAATCAGAGCGAACAGTAGAGATTCCGAAGTAAACTGTTCTCCTTGACCACATCTAGGACTTAGCTGAGATCTGCAAGGGCTGGTCGAGAGTGTGTCACTTCTCTACCTCTTCCCCATGCTGGGAAGTAGCAATGGAGCATGGCTGAGTTCCAAGCCAAAGCACTGGAGAGAGAGGTTCCAACTGGTTCTTCAGCCAGAGACCTCACGAGAAGGTAGGCAATATGGCCATATACCTCAACGTCTGTTGGAACAGAGTCCCAGTGCATGCAATACAGGAATCTAAACCTGGAATGGCGAGGGTGGAAAGTCAAGATGGATGAATCTGTCTGCTTCTTTCTCTCTTTTCACAATCTATATGTAGATGGCTATTCCTAGGCTCCCTTACCTCCTGTTTCTTCTTTTAAGACCACTGCCTGTTTGTTCTCCTCTTACTAGAGATAGACAGCTAGCAAATGGCCTCTTGATAATGGCAACAAGGAGATCTGAATGCATGGAAGTTTTAAGTATCCTGTTCTGTCCATTAAAGGATTGTGCAACACTATAATTCTTTTCTCTCCCTCTACCCCTTAACAATGCCGTTTGGAGCAGCTCTGGCTCAATAGCCACAAGATCAACCTAGCTGGTGCTGTTCTCTACCAGGACATATACCAAATAATCCAAACAACATCATCCACCTCGCAGAGGGAATTGGGCAGTCCAGCTGTCCATGGTTCCCTGCTTTGCTCTGCTGCAGTGATATTTCAAAGACAATACTCCAGTGTCGGGGAAAGCATATGTGTTGGTGATCTCAGAGGGTCAGGAGGATTCTCCTCTTTGAAAACCCTCCAGGCGGCTGTCCCCTAACCAGAAGAAGGTAACTCTGAAAGCGATGCTCTACCTCGTCCGTGCTTATGCTTGTTGTTCAGGACGATCTGGACGATGGTCCCAGAGGCCTGTTGCATGTCCGGTAGGGCTCCTCTGTTACTTCTGCCTCCAGCAAATCGTGGGATGTTGGCTATTTGTCTGGGCGGTGGCTCATAATGGGAGCGATGGGGAGAGTGCCTCTGTAGGAAAAAGAGATGGACTGACATTAAGATTGAACAAGAGAGAGAACGAGAGAGGGAGAGAATAAGAACGAGAGGTTGCCAGAAGACCCAAGGTGGTTAAGAAGGTGTTCCTCTGACTTTTGTTTCTAGATCACTGGTTCCCGACCTTGGGTAACACAGGTATTCTTGGACTGCAACTCCCAGAAATCCTAGCCAGCACATCTAGGGTGAAGGCTTCTGGGAGTTCTAGTCCAAGAACATCTGGGGAACCAAGGTTGTTCTAGATCGCTGCTTCCCAACCTTGGGTGCCCATCTTAGATGACAACTCCGAGAAATCCTGGCCGGCACAGCTAGTGGTGAAGGCTTCTGGGAGTGTTAGTTGAAGAACACCTTGGGGACCCAAGGTTGGCCACCACTCTTCTAGAGCCTGTCAGGAACATCTTCTGAAAGGAGAGGCACCACATGGGTTCTTGCGATTGTTGGGGCAAAGGCTTAGGCTTAGTTGGGCAAATGTCCACTTTCTTAGATACAAGCAAGTCAAGGAAGCCAACGGTCAGCTGCATGGAGAGGTAAACATAAGCTGACAAAGAGCAGAACAAGATTCAGTTGAACATTCTCACTTAGCTATTTATAGAACAGTATGGCCCTTTGTCCCCCTCTTGTTGATCCACTGCAGGGACGGGCTGGTCCTCCAACCCACTGACCATCCAGCCAGTTATCCTCTGAAGAGATCAAAGGAGGAAGATCAGTGAACTTGAAGTTGCCGACCCACGGTTACTGTCTGGTCAGCAGATCTGGTAAACACATAGGTCGCCCCCCTTACACTTGCTAAGACACATTGTAATTATATTTCAATTATAAAAAAATGATTCCTAATTTTCCATCCACTCATTCAAATTAGGGGTTTTATGCAGGCCAGTGCCCTCTTTTGCTCTCCCTCTTGGTGGTGGGTGGGTGGCCACTCTATTTGCATGGGTGCTTTTTTAATGAAATCCCCGCCCTCAAGCTGGGCTGCCTCCATGATTCTGAGTCCCTCTTTGGTGAAGTGTCATCTGACACCCTAGTAGGGCTTGTGGGAGCCCCTGTCCTCTGCTTCCCCTTAGAGGGGCAGGGGAAAGAAGCAATTTATAAATATACGTATTATGAGTGCTGATGCGCTATAGCACTTAGAAACAGCGCTGATGCGCTATGGCACTTAGAAACAGTGCTGATGCGCTATAGCAGTTAGCTACTCATGGTGGCCGTCCATTACACAGTAATGGACCACATGATGGTTACCACACTGCCATGGTGGTGGCAATTACACGTCCTTGTGATAAAGCAAAGGGATTAAGTCACTTTCCACAGCATTACTGTGGAAAGTAATTACTCCTGGACCTCTCAGCGGCTTTCGACGGTGGGAGGGAGAAATGGAAGCTGCCCTGAACCAGTGCTGATGCGCTAAAACACATTCTAACGCAGGCATCAGCCATGGGAGTTGCTGCGGAGGAGTGTGTGAGGTCTTAGAAGGTCTTAGATAGCCTAAGAGACTAATGCTTGCCATGCTATCACATCTGGGATCTGTAAAGATTTCTGCCCTCTCTCAGATTAGCTAGTGATTTTGGTTTCCTTTCGTTGCAGAGTTAAAAATACTTAAGCCCACTGATTCCAATGTGCTTATTATGCACAGTGAAGTCTGTTCTGGATTATAGCCATTGTTTTAAGGAACGGAAAAAAACCACACACAAACACACACGGACGGGCACACACACACACACACACACGCTTATCGGCCATTGTTTGCTTTTGTTATGTTCTGCTCCTAAGATTTCAAAACACACAGCTTTCTGTTCAAACAATCAGTTATGCTGGGCTGAAAATCCAACCGTTTGGTTTCAGAAAGCAGATACAAAAAATCTTTGCAGACGCAGGTCTAATTCCCAGGGAGCCCTTTTGCAGCTCAATTGGCCTCCCAAGACGACCTCTCCTTCAGCGGCTGGCTGTGAATCCCTCAAAACCAGAGAAAGTTACCTTTGAAGGTTACTTCCTAAAAGTAATGGGCTACTGTTCCAGCACTAGTGCTTCCCAAAATAGTTAGTTACGGACAGATTCCTTTTTTTAAAAAAAGTTAATTCTTGCATTTTTATTTTCATTATTCCAAACTAATCATAATCATCATCTTGTGCCCTCAAGTCAGTTCTGACTTGTGCTGAACCTTTTTCAGCATTTTCTAGGTAAGGAACACTCAGGAGTGCTTTACCCTTCCCTTCCTCTAGGGGTAGCCTTGGGACTGTGCAGCTGGCCCAAGGCTACCCAGGCTGGGTTTACTTAATAATATTGACCTTATTTTTTTCCTTGTTGGCTTCCCCTAAGCACCTTCTTGGTTCCCATGGAAAGCATGATATGGGGTTACAAAGGCTTTTGGCTTGATTTTAGTAATGCCTTTCCCCACCCTTATGGGTTGCAATAACAATAGTATTGGCATGCTGTCAAGTCAATTCTGACTAATGGTGACTTTCTGCAGGTTTTCCTAGGTAGAGAACACCCAGAAGTGCCTTACCATTCCCTTCCTCTAGGGGTGCTCTGGGACAGTGCAGCTTGCCCAAGGTTGCATAGGCTGGCTTTCCCCCCAGGATGTGCACTGGGGAATCAAACCCCAATCTCTGGCTCCACAGCCAGATGCCTAAACCAATGATAAGATAAATCATTTGATTAGATAAACAAATTGGAGCCGTTAAAGTGACAAGGCAGCCTAAAACAAGTTTATATATACAGTGGTGCCTCACTTAGCGAGGTTAATCCGTTCCGGAAAAACTATCGCTAAGTGATTTCACCGTTAAGCGAAAAGAAAAAGCCCATAGAAACGCATTAAACCATGATTAATGCGTTCCTATGGGCTAAAAACTCACCTTTAAGCGAAGATCCTCCATAGAGGCGGCCATTTCTGGTGCCTCTTAAGCGAGGTATCCATTCCAGAAAACAGCGGGTGGCCATTTTGTTTTCATTTCAACTATCCGTCAGTTGGAAAAAGGAGGAGCTAGGGGCCAAAAGGATTTAGTGAAATTAAAGACGAAAAGAGAATAAGCTGCCGAGAATCAGAATCCTTCCCCAGTTTCAAGTCAATAACCTTGGAAATGGTGCCCAGTGTGTTGTAGTGGGTTGAGCCATGGACTAGGGTTCAGGAGACCTTGGAAATATACTGGGGTAATTCAGTACATAAAACCACTCCTTTGACCTCTCTCTTACCTTGAAAGACCTATTAGAGTCGCTATAAGCTGATTCCAACCTACCAGCACAGAACATATTTATTTATTTATTTATGCCCCGCCTATCTGGTCGGTGAGGACCACTCTAGGCGGCTAACAACAATAAAATACAGTAACAATATAAATAAGCAATTCTAATTAGTAAAAACACTACAATACATTACATAGAGTGCAAAACAGAAACAGTAAAGAGGGAAGAAGGAGGTCAAGAGGAATATGATGGAAAGGCCTGCCCAAACATCCATGTCTTCAATTGTTTCTTAACACATACAAAACACATACAACAACAACAACAACAACAACAAAACAACCTTGGAAACACACAACTTTAGTTCCTAACTAATGGAGCCAAAGCTACTCCTTAAATAAGTAGGGTGGTCCGAAATCAAAGATTAACCGTCTGCTGCTATGTCAACGTCTACCCGCAATGCTTGTTTTGGAATAGAGTGGGTCCAGAATGAAAGACTCAGTCCTTACTTCCTGCTTTTTCTATTCTGTTCTTTTCCTTTTCTTTGGGGGGGGGGCTTGGGTATGCTCACAACTCAGTCCGAAGGCTCTCTGCCTCACTTACAGCTTCTCTGTTGGCTGGTTGCCGGAAAATGTCTCCATCCGCGTGGTCCCACGAGGACTCTCCGTCTCCTAGTAGATAAGAAATCACAGGGTCAAGAGCTAGGGAAGACACTCAGGGTCCAGCAAGTGGCAAGTAAGCAGCCTGACCACTAGGTGGGTGGGGTAAAAAAAAAAACTAAACAAGTAAATAAAGGCATTGTTGAATTCAGCATCAGAACCATTATCAGAACCAAGAAAGCAAGCGCACCCACAACGATCTATTGGCATGGCATGCTGAGTTGTAGAGTCTTCAAACAAACATGGAAGAGATATGGGTGGAATGGAAGGAATGCAATTATTAATCTGTTCCTTTACCTCGGCAAGCTGGGCAACAGGATTCGGGCATAGACACAGGTGAGGAGCAGCTTAATTTGGGACAAGTCTTCAACCCGCAGTAGACGTTTCCTTCCTGCCATTAAGAAATTAAAAAAAAACCCGAACAAGTGCTTAGTGCATGAGACAGACATATCCATCCATTTAGCACAGGGTTGCCATGACAGCTCACCATCCAGAATATTCCTTATGACACATTCTTTAACTGCAAGGTAGTTTAAAATTATGAGCTGCCATTGATATTTAAGAGCAACCTCTAATCCTGATAATATCCATCCATTGTAGAGATGGACCTGCTTTCTTATGCAATGGTCCTCAAAATCTTGACGTTGATGAAAGACCAGAGGTGAGAAAAGCCACTTTTCCAAATTCCAACTCCTACAAGCCAAGCTTCATCACTGTTAACAGAAGTGCTGGCTAGGAGATTCTGGTTGCTGGAGTCTGAAAAAGGGATCCCCACTCCCATCTCTTCGTAATCGCTGAAATCACGGTTGGGTTGACTAAGACATTAAGATCTATTGTCTCCTGGGGTGATCAAGGGGGAAATATGGCATGTGACTTTGGAAGCAGGCAAAGAAAAGGGCTTCTGCCGTTAAAGCTCCTGAGTCTTATCTCTAAGAAGGACCAGGAGGCTTGTCTCGAAGGAGTGACCATTAGATCTGAACCCTTCCACTCTTCTACCTGACCCAGAACACCTCACTCTGCTTAATGGCAGGGCCGGCCCTGCACCAGACTTTAGAGCAGTCCTGTTACTTACCGAACAACTGCACTGGGCACACTGGTTGGCTTGTTTGTTTTGGAAGAGTCCTTCTGCCACAAACATCTCCCCATGCTGGTAGGTGGTACCATTAAATTCGCAGGACTTCCCAGTGATCTTACTGCCCACTGAGAAAAGCGAGTCATCTAGAAAAGAACAGGGAGAGAAAGTCATCAGAAAACCAACACTCCCAGTACGCTCTGCAAATGCATCTTTACTGGTACTTTGCTGGTACAGTGGTGCCTCGCTTGACGAGGATAATTCGTTCAGTTGAAATCACTGTTAAGCGAAATCCTCATCAAGCAAAACAAAAAAGCCAATTGAAATGCATTGAAAACCAGTTCAATGCATTCCAATGGGCTAAATACCTCAGCGTCCAGTGAAGATCCTCCATGGGGCGGCCATTTTTGGTGCCTGTAAAGTGAGGAATCCATCCTAAAGCACAGCGGGGAGCCATTTTGCACAGCGGGTGGCCATTTTAGACCCGCCGATCAGCTGTTTTAGAATCATCGTCTAGCGAAAAATCAGTTCCCAAAGCAGGGGACTGATCATCGTCAAGCGAAATTTCCCTATCTAAACATCTTTTGCGATCGCTATCGTAAAGCGGAGGTAACGTTTAACGAGGTAATCGTTAAGCGAGGCACCACTGTAATGTGGAGTACTGTAATAGTTCTCCCTCTTACCAAAAATGTGTATATTTCATTCTCCATGTTCATTCAACATGGAGAAAACACTGGTTGAGTTGTTCCGGCTTTTACAATGTAGAAACCGCCACTGGAAGAACTCTCAATCCGAGGCCAAAAGAGCCAGGCTGATTCACACCAGCCATTGCGTCCTGTGGTCGTTGAAAAATACTTTGAATCCACAAATTGCAGAGCAAATTCCAGAATTCATCAATGTATTCGCTATCTGTGAAAGGGGGACACAGGGCCAGTCTACTCTCATTCTTTCTCATTGCTTGTCACATTGGGTAGAACTGATGGAAGCATTAGTTGAACATCTTAGAGATTCACACTTGGCCAGCTTTTGCCCAATTGAGAGTCAATGTTTCTAGATCTCAGTATAGCATGCTCTGGGAATGCACGCTGGATTGCTCTCCAGACCAGGAACACTACAGGCTTCCTTTGAAACCAGTTGTATTTTCATTCCCTCTCCTCTCCAAAATCTTCTGTGGGCATCTGCAACAAAGCATCGGTTTTCTGGAGCTCAAACCATTTTGAGGAACATGGGATTTGTTGAAGGTTGGGCGCTAAATCCAAAAGAACCAGCCTTCCTTGATCCTAGAAGATTCATGGGGAGCTAGAAGCCTTTCTTCCTTTCCTATCAGTGCCACCATATCATAGAGGAAAAAAATTATCAGGCTGCTGAGGAATGCAGGAGATTGTTGCTTGTTTTGTTTTGTTCTGTGTGAAAGTTGTTGTTTTGTTCGTTAAGCTGGGCACTCCACCAAGGGAGTAAGAGGCTTCAGATTATAGGCGCATGAGCTAAATGGCGACATTTAGAAGCCTGTCTTGTAAACCATCTATTTTGGCAGGCGGGGCGCCTTTTGGAAATCAGAGGAAAAGTAAATGTCAGGTCTACCAGGTTGCAGAAGATGTATAAAATCCAAAATGTTATCGTCTTGCACGCATGCGACCTGGAAAGCAATTTTTGATATTTATATGTTCTTCGGGCTTGTTTATTGCTACAGAGCCTGCGCCTCAAATATTAATGTATTCAGCATTTTGAGATTTCGTTCTGTCGCTGGCGTGGTTCCAGTTGGCAGAGGGGAAAGGGGCAGGTCAGATTACAACTTTAAATATAAATTCAGAGAACACTCAGCAGCAACTTTGGCATGTGGTCCCAACAGAGAGAGAGAGATCAAAGAGGACTTAAGGAGCACCTCTCCCAGATATTCGGAGATTAAAATAATCAGCGGGAGGAGAGCAGGGTGATGGGCTAGATCACTATGGTGCAAACAGGAGGACCCATTGGGAGGTCAAGCAATTCACCAAGTTTTAAAGCTGTCCTCCTTTTTATTACTACCAAGAGCATAGCGCTAATTCACCTAACAGCCAAACTCAAGCTGCTAGAACTTCTTCCAACAGACAGACAAGCAAGAAACACACAGAATCCCAAAACCCTAACATGGATCAAGGAAACCCGTTTTGTGCAAGTGGTTCTCAGCAATTTCCAAAGACCTGGTGTCACCAGTGACTGATTTTTGAAGGAGATTAGGAATACAGCCAGCCTCCAGCATAAAAATGTGACATGGGAAACAATCCATTATAGTGCTAACCTTCCCACATCCTTTCCCTCTATAAAACTGAACAGAACCGATTCTAGCAAAGAGGATCTTATTCTTACAGGGTGTACCCCAATGTTTTCCAAAGACAGCTGATTTTTGAAGGAGATGAGGAGTATAACATGCCTTCGTTGTCAAGATCTGAAGCAGTCAATGGTAGTGCTAATTTCCCCACCCCGGATAAAATTCCAGACCTCTGTGTCCTATACACACATACATTGTGTGTGTGTGAGAGAGAGAGAGAGGGGGGGGACAGAGAGAGACAGACAGAGACAGAGAAACAATGCATTCAATATGGTTTACTTCTGAGTAATGATAAGATTGCATTGTAATCTGCTTTCCACTTTTCATTCACAACAGTGCTCTTGTGCTTCTCTGAGATCAGAATCTGTAAGAGGGATGGGCACCGAGATGTCGGTTGTTCTTCGGCTAACAGAGGTCTTTTTCCATGTTTGAAGGCTCACTGTGTGATTGGTAAATAAGGATCTGGCCTTTTCCTGCCAACTGAACACATGGCCCGGCTGATGCTAGGCCGTTCTTAACAGCCAGCCTGTTTTATGAAGCAGCTAGCTTTGCAAAATGCCAGCCTTTTTTTTTAATTATAGCAACACTATCCGTCACTAAAATGTGGAAAACGGGCTATTTTTAGAAATGCCTGGCCTTGCACTTTCTCGGTCGTGTCTGAGAAAGTGGCAAGAGGTTTCGGAGGGGGGGAACGAGGGCAACAGGAATGGAACAACAAGACAAGACGGGGCATCAGCCAGAGCAGGGGCAGACATCCTCGAGAGGTCTGGGGCCAGAAACATCTCTCCAAAGTCCAATTTTCACAAAAGCATGCAAAAAACAACCCATTCCAATGTCTGCACACTCTTTTATGTTCCTTTTTTGGTTGGCTGTTGTTGTTTTTTTTAAAAAAATCCTTTGGTAGGGTCAGTAGGAAATGTTTTTAGATGAGTTTTTAGATGACACCGTTCCCCCCCCCCCCGCATCTTCTAATGGTTCCAAAATTGCTGTTCCTTGCTGTCAAGTTGCCTCTGAATTTCGGCCACCATTATACCGTTTCCTTGATATGTGAGATATTCAAGGAGTGATCGATCACTGCCCCTCCTTAGCACGTTTCTGCAATAAAGTGAGGATTTGAATCCAGGTCTCTTGAATCTGACCTTTTATTCCATGCATATATAGAAGACATGCACAGACGTCCTTTGATCAGCAATTTTCATGTGGGAAAAAAACAAGAAGTAGCAGTGGATCTTCCTCCCTTCCTTCCTATTTTTCTTTCTTTCTTTCTTTCTTTCTTTCTTCCTTCCTTCCTTTCTTTCTTTCTTTCTTTCTACGCTTAAACGTGCTTTGAAGAAAGCCGGGAATTTGCTCACCGATCAACGGCGAACCCGGGAAGTTTCAGCCCCAGATCCTTAAGCGTGCTGTAATTTAATATTTAAATAAAATACAACATAATTTGGACGAGGGCTCAACATTCTGTGTTGAAAGGTGACCGGTGGAGTTAAGTGACTTCTTAGCTCCAGCCGAAAGCATCCAGAAGAGGTTGGGAAGGAATCCAGGAGCAAACAATGGCAAATCTGGATGCTAACCACATCCAGATGTGGGCGGTCTTAGCAGACAGGTGTCAAACACATTAGGCTACCCAACACCTTTCGAAAGTGACTTCAAGCGTTCCCTTAAGCTTACAAAAGCCACCAGAATCCCACAACTAGTCCTTTAACCTCGGCGGCCGGTAGCATATGCAAGATCACCCACGGCTCAAAGCCATTAAACCAGCGCTGTGTTGCATGGCTAGACCAAGGCTTTCTTTACTGTATCAAGTTAATGGTAAATTTTCAGTTCTGATACTCAGGTTTCTTTGGCTTTCAGGGCTGAAAGGTAGCCCCCTTGAACGCTTTCATATTCGTGGGTGTGCAGGGGGCTTAATTTCCTGTGTTTTCATTTTTTTAAAATAGTGGCATAAAGAAAAGGCTTGTTAAAGGCATATGGATAACGAGTTTAAAAAGACGTTTTTCATAGCTATATTTTGTTTTTGCATTAGCAAGCCTGGAGGGGTGTGGAGAATTTTCTGAAGGCAGCTGGTGCCTCTCAAAATAACATTTGTCGGACTGTTGACTTAATCATTCCATCCATTGATTGAATGGGTCTACTTGAATTCGGATTTCACGCTTGGACTACAAGTCCTCTTGACTGTGCTGGGCTGGGGGTCCTGGGAGTTGTAGTCCTCAAATCCAGCTTTTCCAAGCTCCAGACTAGACCCTGGCATCCAAACATCTGGTTCATCATCCTTCCGACATCTAGTAGGTTTTCTAGATCGGGATGAGCTTTGGAACGTGGCTTGGCTGTACTGTATATTTCAAGTTGTCTTGTAGGTATTAGAAACAGAGCAAACTCAGTCGGCCTTGGCTAGGAGGTGGAATAAGCAGCTTCTTTGGGAATCTAAGGAACTATGTCCCTCGTATAGCTGGAAGCGAACAGCCAGGGCAAAAGCAGCAGGGTGGACCTCAAAACTCTCCAAGACGTGAGGCCATGTCGGGAATTTCGCAACAAAACCCCAGAAAGCGCTCGCTTCGTCTGCATTGTACAGTGGCTCTTAACAATCATGTATAATAAATGTACAGTCTGTGGGAGTTTATTATGCAGCGTATGACCCAGTTTATATAGTCATAAACATCACCGGCTCTCTGCGTCTGATTTATAGCCTCCTCCGTCTAATTATGAAGCTAAGTGAGGTTGTAAAAAAAAATGTTTCGGTTGTATGTGGTTGATTCAGAGGGTCGCTTCCTTAGCCCCTGGAAAGGTAACTTTTCTGAACTCTTATGTTTCTCGATTCTTTGGCCATGGTGGACCCAAAAGTCTTATCCAAGTTCTCTGTCTGCCGGAAAAGAAAGGCCATTCTCTGCTCATTTCAGGATAAGCCTGCTCATTGCTATATATTACCAATAAGGATGTGTATTTGGGTTTTTTTTTAAAACTACAAATCCCACAATTCTCTTTCCTGGGAGCCTCATCTGCAGGAACCAGGCCTCACAGACCCCTAAGTTGTGCTCACCTGGAGAGAAGGCCTAGCTGGCCGGCTTCACGGTTTGGCTAGGCCTAACTTCCTGTTTGAAAAGGAAGCTGTCTGTAAAGAGGCAGCCTCTGATGGAATTTGTTCCTCCATGCACCTCGGTGAATAGCGGGGAATCTTTATGACTCCTGCAGCACAGCTAGGCACTTTTCGAACAGTTTGAAGAAGTGGTGCAGGAATGGCATGGAAGTAAGAGAGCTGCTCTACCCCCTTGCAAGTTGGGGGACCCTTAGTCCTGCCATTTCTCTGGGGTTCCAACTAAATGATGGGACTGGGGGGTTCATTAATGCCAAAAAAATCCCATCTTACCCCCTTGCAAGTTGGGGGACCCTTTGTCCTGCCATTTCTCTGGGGAGGCGGGTGCCAAATGAATGATGGGACGGGGTTCATTAATGCCAAAAAAATCCCATCCCTTGATAGCTGAAGCTTCTATCACCTCTAGGAGTATGCAAGTGAGCTTTCTTTGTCGGGCGATGTTGGTCTTCTGGACTTAAGCATGGGATTCCTTCGAAGGCAAATTTTTGCAAACCCAAAAAGACTTCCTCAATCACCTCTCTCCAACACTTCCAGTTCCAGTGATGGGCTATAGAACCTCTGCTTCTACTCTGAGATCTCAGATAGGAGCCTGATATTCGGCAAATCTGGTTGTATTTATATTCTGCTTTCCCACTGCCCCTGCCCCATAGCATCTTTAAAACAACTCTAGGTAGGCAGAAGGAGATAAGTTACTATCTCAAGACTACTCAGTTCCCTGGTTCAGAGTACAGTCAGCGAGAGACACTTTTCCAAGAAGCCTAACTGGAGATGCTACGTATCATGGGAAATATATTGAAATACCCTCTTTTTTAATTACCTGGAATATTGGTTCCCAACCTTGGGAAAACCAGGTGTTCTTGGACTTCAGCTACCAGAAACCCAAGCCAGCACAGCTAGCGGTGAAGGCTTCTGGGAGTTGCAGTCCAAGAACACCTGGTTGACCCAAGGTTGGGAACCCCTGACGTATCTGGGGATGTTAAAGTGTGTTTGTTTATTTGAGTAGCCACATGGCTATCACACTTCCCGCCTCTCATGAGAAGATAAAACTCCCTAGAAAAGACAGCAATGCAAGGAAAAGTGGAAGGCAGTAGGGAAGGAGGAAGCCTGGGACATGAGATAGGCTGAGTCTATACAGGAAGCCACAGCCTTGAGCTTGCAAAACCTGTACACAATAATGAATACGACAGTTTTGACCCAGCGTGGAAACTGCAAAATACTGTCCTCAGGGCAATCCCTGAACCACCTAAACTGCTATAAAGAGGCACATTTTAGCACAGGGTAACCCCCCCCCCCGATGTTGCCGATACAGGGTGTGTGTCCCCCAACAGGCCCCTCCCCAACGCATTCTGATGAAATGAGGGGAGGGCTGAGCGCCCGAGCCTTGAGCATGAGGGGCGAGAAGCATCTCCTCCGGGCTGCTCTCGGCTCTCCGGCCTCTCTTGTCATAAATGGAGTGTATAACAGGGTTTGCTGCATGAAAGCATTCCATTGTTATTTTTAGACCGGGAATTTGTCTGTTTGCTCTGCTCCGACATCCTTTAAAGCGGAGCACATTGCGGGGCAGCTCTGCGCCCTGGAAATGAACGTTACCTGGACAGCGAGGGCAGCACATCTGGGGGACTTGGACGGGGTTGGGACAGTGCAAGTTCGGGCACCGTATTCGGTTGCACTGCACGTTTCCGTTCTGGGGAAAGAAGTCGAGAGTATGAAATAAAAGGAAATGACGCCAAACATTTTGCTATCTTAGTGTCTATGGGCAAAAGGCTCTGCTGACTCAGGGGCATCTCAGCCCCATCCTATCTGTCCCTTAACAGTGATCCAAAGCATTTAAGAATGCCAATGGTTGGGAGTTCGATTCCCCCCTTTGTGCCTCCTGGGAGAAAGAGCCAGCCTGGGTAGCCTTGGGCCAGCTGCACCGTCCCAAGGTTGCCCCTAGAGGAAGAGAAGGGTAATGCACTTCCGAGTTTACTTTCTACCTAGAAAACCCTGAAAAAGGATTCACGCTGATTCGATTTTTGACCGAATAAGTGTTTGGTGCTTCCCAGCCCCGCCTCCTCTGACGGGTGCCCATTCAGAGACAGCGTGTGGGGGAGGCGGGGCAGGGGAGCTGGGGCACGGACCCAGAGTGGCTGCTTGCTGAAGGAGGCGGGGCCGGGGAAGTACCAAACACCTGTTTGGCTGAAAAATGAACCTGCACGAACTGCTCGTTTGGCAGCTTGTGCCCATCTCAACACCTCCTTTTTTTTTTACCGCCGCTACAGTCTTCGACTTAGTACATAACCAGATCTTGCTGCACGAACTGCTCGTTTGGCAGTTTGTGCCCATCTCAACACCTCCTTTTTTAACCGCCGCTACAATCTTCGACTTAGTACATAACCAGATCTTGCAAAAATTACTTTTTTGTACTGTGATGCCCAGAACTTCAGTTACTTTCTTTTGGCAGCTGACAGTTTTCTTTTGGAGGTTCTGAGCCCATACCTACCCACCCCCGCACGCAGATTGATCAATTTTTGCCCACTTCTGTATACAAGTATCAGTATCTCATCCCCAGTCCCAACTGGCTGCATGAAACCTACCTCTGAGCAGAGGCAGTTCACGCAGTAGACAATCCCGTAGGGCTCTAGGTACGGATGCCACCGTTCACCCACCCGATACTTCTTGTCTTGAAACACACAGAAGGTCTCCGAATCTGCAAGGGAGCGAAGGAGGAGGACAGACGGTGAGCTGACAAGGGACAGGCTTGGACCACAGCAGGGTGAGGGTCAACAAGGCAGTGTGTCTCTACACCATTCACTTCCCGGAGGGCCAACCCAACTCATTGTACCCGTTGGGAGTGGCTTTCCCCAATGTTAGCTCCCCACACCACAAGGTCCTCCAGGCATTGCTCCTCCAGGCGGCCCCTCCAAAGGAGGTCCAGAAATCATCTACCACAAACAGGGCCTTCTTCATGGTGGCACCAACACTCTGGAGGAAACTCCCAGTGGCGCTGCCCCGGGATCCATCTCTCCCAACGTTTAAAGACACTCCTAAATGGTTTAGGACCTCGATATTTGGCGGAGCGGCTACTCCCACCAAGGTCTACCCGGATCACCCACGTGAGTCAGGAGGTGAGGCTGAGGAGCCTGACGCCGAGGGAGGCCCAGAAGGAAAAGACATGAAACCGGGCCTTCTTGGCGGTGGCTCCTCACCTATGGAAAAATCTCCCTCCGGAGATTCGCGCGGCCCCCACGCTGGGTATCTTTAAAAAACAACTAAAAACATGGATGTTTTATTCAGGCCTTCCCTCCAGTCAATACTTGATTCTCTCTTTTTATTCTTTCTTCATTTACTTTTTATTTTTATTTTATTTTTGTTTGTAAACTGTCATTGGAGATTTTTGTAATACTTTGTGTTATTTTTATTAGTTGTTTACGTTATATTGGAAGCCGCCTAGAGTGGTCGCATAGACCAGATGGGCGGGATACAAAACAAATCAATCAATCAATCAATCAATCAATCAAATTCTTAGAGAGGCCTTCCTCGCTCACCTGACCTGATTTTTCAACACACTTCACGTTTGGCTTGTAAGCTGCCATCGACCTCTCTTTAAGCGTACGATTGTTATTCCTATGTTTTTGTTCGAATTTGATTATTTGTGTGTTTTATACCGCTGCAATCCACCCAGAACAGTGCATTACACTAACGGGGGCGGTGTATATATAAACAAACAAACAAACAAATAAAATTGTGCTGCCTGAGTAAAGGGCAAGACAACACACACAGACAGTCCTGGCAACTGAATCTTCAGAGTGGATCTGGGCTACAAAGCGATACCACTGTAGCTGCCATGGGTCCATCCACGTACGGAGTGGCTTGTGTGTAAAGCCCGGCTCCTGCTTCAGTCACTGCTGGATGAATGAGGCTTTCATGTCTGCGAAGCGGTGAACCGGAGATGCCACTGAGGGACCCTGGGTGATGCCCCGGCTTTGGACAAAGCTAGCTGCGCGGCTCGTTCTTGTGAATAAGCTCAGCCGAGCAGAGAGAATGTCTCTCTTGGGCCCCGTCCATCCCCGTCTTCCCTTTGTATTCATCGGGTTGCTGGAGGTGGGTTTGAGCTAGGAAATACACTCTTGTGCTTCTCTTGCGGACGGCTCTTACAGGACACTGAATGTGCACGACGAGAAACGAACCAGGGAAAAGCTACCCTTACAGGTAAGCTCATTAATTCTACAGGTTTCAAGTCGCTGGCAGACTTCGTTTCCAGCGGGCATCACGTTTTATGACCTGCTATTTATGACGTCTGACAGGTGCTGCCATCTTCGGTAGACTATAGGATTTGTAAACCATTCCTCTGTACCAGGCAGGGCAACCTCAATGGGGCTCAAAGGCCACGTTTTCTATGCGAGGCTTAGCTAGGCCTAGCTGTGCTTAGCTTCCTTTCCCAAAAGAAAGCTCCCAGGTAGCACTGGGGCAGGAAAAGGAAGTTTGGCCAGAGCTAGGCCGAGCTAAACCTCCAAACCTTCCATTGGGGAGGGGCTTTACTCCCAAGTGAGCCAAATTTAGGTGTTTGTAAGATGTATACGAGTCAAATAGAACTCCAAAAATGTGGAAATATGGGGTTTGTAGTCCAAAATCTTTTTAAAAAATCCCCTTCATATCTACAAGTACTTAAGTTCTTAAAGTGACACACATATTTTTATGCATATAGGCAACCATCTTTCTTAATGGCTGGAATCCAGCTGAAAAAAAAACACAGTGGTGTAAGTCTCCTAGTGTAGATCACCGTGGCACATTGCTGGAAGTTAAAAAGTCAATGTATCAATTATCTGTTACGCATCTCCTCACACAACAGGGGCAGCAAATATAGTGGATTCCAAATTTGCAGCAATTCATTGTTGAGGTTTATGCCAATGGAGTTATGCTGACAGGTGTACGCAATAGGATTCTGGCCAGTAAACAGGGTGACACAGTTGTTAAACCGTGGTTAGAGGACATGTCCCCCTAACCTTTTTACTGAAGTCTAGTTCACAACAGCCGGCCACACTCATGGCGAGGCGAGGCTAGCCTTAGTCATTAGGGTGACTTCTTCTGATTTTAAAAATAAATAAAAACCGAGGTACTGAACCCGGGAACAAACAATGCATTTGTAGACCTTTATGTTCTGCAATGAGACTGCCTGTGCTTAGTGGAAATAGATGGATACAGGATTGTGGCTTGATCATAGTATCCCTGAAAAAGCTGTTTGTGAAGGCCTAGGTTCTTTCCAGATTGAGTAACTTGAAAAAACTTCGTCACGACATGGATGTGAGATTTGACAGCTGTTAATCCCCTTGAAATTCTTCAATCTGGTTCATGTCCTGCCCATTTATTATGTTACTAATTCAAGTTCGGAATTTCAACCCTTTTAAAAATGAACAGATTCCCCCCCCCCAATGGAAATATATCACAATGGAAAAAAATTTTCCAGCACATTTTTTCCATTTCGTTTCCAAACTTTTTGTGTGTTTTTTGTTTTTTGGGGGGAAAATATTCCAACCACATCATGGCTACTGGAGGGTGCATAATGGGCTGGATGGAGGCAGATGCTTTCTCCTGACCCTGGGGACCCAGAACCCAAGGGTGTTCTCTGCTGCCCGCAGTCTTGTCTGCTCAGAACCGGAGAGCAGAGAAGGAAGAAACAGCGGGGAAACAGCGCTTCCGTTTCTGCTATTTTTAAAATCCTGCCCCTATTTTTAAATCGGTTTAATTCATTAATAACAGAAGGGCTGAACCCATGTGTTGCCGTTTTTATTCACCCATCATCTTGCATGATTTCAGGGCTTTTAAAATAATAAATTAAAAGCATCAAGACAGCAGCTTGCAGTCTAAGTGAGCAGGGTGCAATGAATAAATAGTTGGCTGGATAGCTCAGTGACTGAAGGATTTGGCTGTGAAGCCCAGAGGTTGGGAGTTTGATTCCCCACTTGTGCCTTCTGGGAGAAGAGCCAGCCTGGGTGGCCTTGGGCCAGCTGCACAGTCTCAAGGCTGCCCCTAGAGGAAGGGAAGGGTAAAGCACTCCTGAGTATTCTGTACCTGGGAAACTCTGAAAAAGGTCGCCATAAGTCCAAATTGGCTTGATCCAGCCAGCTCTATAACTTTATTGTTATAGAGCTGGCTGGATAGTTCAGTGGTTTAGAGCTCTGGCTGCAGATCCAGAGATTGGGAGTTCAATTCCCCCGCTGGGCTTCCTGGGAGTAAAACCAACCTGGGTGGCCCTGGGCAAGCTGCACAGTCTTGGGGCACCCCCAGAAAGAGGGAATGGCAAAGCACTTCTGAGTATTCTCTACCTGGAAAACCCTGTAAGGGGTCACCATCAATTGGAATTAATTGAGTCCAAGCCCTGGTTCAATGCAGGAATCCATGTCAAAGCAGATCTGACAGTTTTCTCTTGAATATTTCCAACTTTGGAGCACTCATACCTCCCAAGATAATTGGTTCCATCGTGACACTGCTCTAACAGTTAGGAAGTTTTTCCTGATCTTCAGCCTAAATCTGGGTTCCTGTACCTTGAGCCCCCTTATGATGTGTCCTCTGGGAGGATCAAGAACAGATCCGCCCCTGAGTGACAAGGGTTGGGGGTCTCTGAAGCATGAACATCTGGTGGGGGGGGGAGTCTGCTCCCAGTTCAGACCAAAAAGGGTTAACTCACATTTTCCTTGTTCTGTTTTGCTCCCCTCGATGAAGAGGAGGCAGAGGACGCAGGCAAACTTCAGTCTCAGATTTTCCAGGCTCCACTTTCTTCTCATTGTTGCCATTATGGAACGGAAAAGCATAGGTATCCTTTGGTGTAGAAAGTCGAGGAGCTGCAAGAAAAGAAATTCTGCGGTCATGTCTTCTTCAGGTTGCTGCGAGGGAGGATGCTCCCGGTTGACTTTACAACCTAAGTCTGAACTCATCTCATAAACAGACATCTGCCATGTTTTTTTTTTGGACCCTGACCTACAATTTTTCTGCACTATCCATGAAGGGGTGGTGCCCAGCCTGAAGAAGTGAGCTTGTAGCCACGAAAGCTTGTGATTTTTCAAGTGGCTCGGTAAAGGTACCACCTTACTCTTGCATTTGTGCAATCCTGAATCACACACAGCCATTTCCTAATTCTGTCCATGGTGGTCAGATTCCAGAATACAAATTAGGTCAGGAACCAGAAAAAAATCTGGAGAAGATGAGCACCAGTGATGCCCACTGGAAATCCTCTTCCCTGTATAGGTGATGCCCTTAACATTGAAACTCTGCTTGAAATCTACATCCCATTGAAAATACCATGACAGCAGTTCCTTGGTTATAATCGCTGCAGGCTGAACCCAGTAGCACTGTTTGCTCATGTTCTCCCTTAACAAAGATCCATTTACTCCCAAGGGATCGAGAAAGTTAGTTTTGGGGGTGGCGGACCAAAAATCTGCCAGTTTGGGGAGTTGCAATAAAAAAAAACCTGAATGTTTGAAAATGGTGCCGATGAAATGATGTGTGTCTCTCTGAGTGTGTGTAAGAGAGAGAACGAGAGCAAGGGGGCAAACCACCCAAATGGAATTTTGCATGCTTGAGCCAACATTCCTAAATAATTTCTCAAAACATCATAATCTGCGGCTGTTTTGTTTTGGAATTTCTGACACAATCACCTCAAAGACAAAAAAAATAAACAAGTAAACAAAAGTTGCTTAAAAACAGGAATGCTGTGAAAAACCAAAATTTCCAGAACCCGAGGCACGGATCATTCCTTTTTTTTTTCCATTTGAATTTTCCACTCTTCTGAGAAATACAAATGATAAATTCAAAAGAAGAATTTTTTAAAAAAAGAAGGGATGGTTTGGTTTAATTTCCTCTTTGATCAAGAGCTTCTTCAGTTCCTCCGTAGACTTCTGGGAGTCTGTGGTGCAAATCATTTTTTTTTGCCCTTTTCCACCAGGATGGGATCTTTTCCCCCTTTCCTTCTTTTCTAACAGCTGAAACCGGAAGTAAACACCTTGCCTTCAAGAAAGTGGCCTGATGGAGCAGGAACGACAGATTCCCGAAAGAAGCAATTACAGTATGGGATGCAAATCAGAATTTGGAAAAGGGATGCTTCTCGACTATGAATCCCAGAATCCAGTTTGTGGGATTCTGAGATTTGTAGTCCCCCCAAAGCCTCTTTTCCAAGCTGTGATGAAAACATTTTGATATTTGTCACAAGGGTAATTTTTTTTGGACATATCACCTAAAATGGTCTTTCTTTTCATAAGTGAGCTGAGCCCCTCTCTCTGCTACGACCCTAACATTTGCCCATTCCCTTGATCTCAGAGATGCAAGCCACACAATGACCAAGACCTAACAGTTCCTAACCTTGGACTGCAAATCCCAGAAGCCATCACCACTAGCGGGCTGGGGTTTCTGGGAGTTGCAGCACACCGACCTAGTGGGAGAGGGCAATTCATCCAGGAGATGAAATTCCACCTCTGCTCGCATTTTTACAGTCTATCCTCACCAAGCCTTCGCTCAGGTTTCTCTGCATGCATGTCCAGAAGATAGCACAGGAAACAAAAGGTGGGCATATGGCTTTTAAGGTGCACACCAAGGAAGCGCCAAAGGCCAATTCCACCGAGAAGTCTCCCTTTGCAATCTCCACTGGATATGTCAGAGCCGAGGGAAGGCTTTTTGCTTCAATCCTAATCATTATAGGGATGCTCGCTTAAGTAACTTCTTGGGAAAGACTTAAGTGTCTGTGTGAACACGAACCTGGGAAGATAGAGTGCAACAGGAGTAAGAAGAAGAATCCTTGTTATTTCCCCCAAATCGTAAATTTAGGAAGAGAGGTTAAGAAAAAGGCATCCTTAGGACCACGATGGGCAGATGGTACACTTTTTCAAAAAACGGCTTTTCTAGGAACAGCAACCATCCTTACTGCCTGAGATGTGTGCACCTGGTGGAGCCGTCCAGTATCCAGTGCATTAAACCAGGACAGATTGTAGCACCTAGAAGGAAGTTCTCAAGAATTGAAACCCAAGCTCTGCCCTCAAGAGGGCACTTTTATTTGAAATTATAAAGGGTTTTTGTTTAAAAAAAAAAAGCAGGGCTAGGAAAAAAAACCGTTCAGATGCCTGATGAAGTGATCTGAACATCTCAGAAGCCTGCACACATTTTCCTGCTCTTTTGGGGCCCCCAAAAGTCTTGTAGCATCTGAAAGGATAACAAATATATTAAAACCGGAACAGGTTGCTTATTACAGCACACGCAAGATCTGCAATGAAGCAGGTCCCGGAAATCAAGAATAAAGTTGTGGTCTGAGAGGTAGGTCTCTCCCCACCCCACCCACCCCGACGGATGGTTGGTGCTCTCTTGCTTTTAAATGTGCTTTTAGTATTGATTTTAATGACCATTTTAAACTTTCACCCTTACTGAATTCTTCTGCCATATTTGTATACTTACTGCTTTTAGCTTTTAAATATTGGCTTTTAAAATGATGTAAGCCGCCGCTTGGGTCCTTTTTCCAAGGCTGGGTAAAAATGGTTTGAATGAATGAATGAATGAATGAATGAATGAATGAAGGAAGGAATGAAGGAAGGAAGGAAGGAAGGAAGGAAGGAAGGAATTTAGGGCGCCGTAGGATTCTCTATTATGGTGGCTGCCTCAAATGGACATCCCTTCCAAAATGAGGACGTACCAGGTGGGAGAGGGCACGTTGACAGGGCGCCGTAGGATTCTCTGTTATGGTGGCTGCCGCAAATGGACATGCCTTCCAAAATGAGAACGTACCAGGTGGGAGAGGGCACGTTGACAAAGCAACCACCATAGCCTTTGTCTAAAGCTTTGGCGCCACCAGGGCTTGGTGAGAGCGGGAGTAGAGATTTCCTTTGTGCCAAATGGATCGCAGAGCGACCCGGTTCAGCTTGGTCCAGGTTACGAGATGTACAAGCAGGGGACCTTGCTCAGCCAGTTCTGCCTAGAGGTGGGATGGGCTGACCCACGGGGTCTTTTATATACACCACCTACATGTTGTTCCACTGAGTTACCCATGGGGCTTCGGACGTGGGCCTCCCCGAGCCGGTGACTGGATCCATCCTAAGGGTTTTAAACATGTTTCCCAGGGGCTTTAGGCCCAACTAGGATCTATTTTTTAACAAGGACTTGGTGAGAATAAATGAGAAACAAACGGACTTTGGTGGGGGGAGAAGGAAATATTGGGGCTGTTGCAAAACCAACATGGAGGACGTTTCTAATTATCCATCGTGAATAAGAAGCCATGTTTCCACTGACGAATGGAAAAAAGGAAAAGTTGCCGAATAATGTCTACAATTGGGTCCAGTTGACCACAGAAACCACTCCTTCAGCTCTTTTGCTGGAACTCCTTCCAATAACATGCTTCTATTTGATCTAAGCTGGGTGAAATAAAGAAACACATACTGTTTCCTTGAGCTAGCCCTCTCGTTTGTCCATGTTTTGCATCAAAATAGCACCCCATCATCACATTACAGAGATGAAAGGCTCACACTGTTTGAAAAATCTTGGGCTGCTTTTGAAGGAAGCTTCTTCTCTCCTGGGGCCTCTCTCCCCATCGCTGCTCCCACCCCACCGAAGAAGAAGAAGAAGATACCGGATGGAATATTACAAAGAAATTGCAAATATGCACCCGTCAGTTTCATCCGAGCCAAGACTGCACTGCCTCCCAGGCTAGCCTCCAAAGCTTAAATCTGCCCTGGAACCAGTCCAGCCACTGTTTCCAAACGACTGGGTCGAGTTTGTATTATGGAATGTCTTTCCTCTGTCATTTGGAGTTCGGGCACCGGGCTCTACTAGAAGGATCCTCCGGAGCTTCGAGAGCAAAACAGGGCTTGGCTTACATACAAGCCTGACCTCAACCGCAGGGCCACTGGTGGGTGCAAATGCATGCATTTCAGGACAAAAGCTTAAGCCACCACGCAGCACGATGTGTTCCTAGACTCGTTACACATTTTACACACACAAAACAGATCGCACCTTTCCAATTTACAGGGAGGAACTGGAAGGCAAGTGTAGGAAAGGGGTACAATAAGCCAACTGTGCAAAACATGTACAGATCCTTCCCATGCATTTCCCCCCTCTGATTGTAAGCGCTGCTTATTCCAGTTGGGTTTGCTACGAAGTAAGTGTGCATCGATTTATACCCTTAGACCTCGCAGATCTACGGAGCAGAGTGGAAAATAAATGGCTACATAAAATAACTCATTGATTTATTCCTGGTGTCATCGTTAAAGAGCAGGCTGTACTCTCTAAATTGAAAAGCCAAGAGGACCAGCAGCAGTAGTCTGTGAAAAGCACATGCATAGAGCACCTCGTAGTAACCCTTTAAAGATCAATGCACTTACAGTGGTGCAAGTTTTTGAGGCTTGTTACTCACAAAAAAATCTGTCTCTCAAAGTGGCACAAGCCCCCCCCCCCTTTCACTTGTTCACTCTTGTGGCTCTGAGGCAAAATAGTTTAAGGGATGCACCCTGGAAATGGGCAAAAGAGAATAAATCCAATAGCAACCAGAGAAAACATATCTTTCCAGAGAGATGCTCAGCTCTCTCCATCTAGGGTGGTTCTCCTAGTCTACTGGAGGGAAGACATCCAGTCTGATCAACAGCTTTTAAAAACCAACGGGGTCCACCCTTCCACTACCTGTTCATGCCAAAGGGAGTCCCATGACCTCCAATGGGGTTTACTCTCAGGTAACTGTGCCTTTGATATGGTCCAGCGACCGGAGAAGACGGCAAGGCTTTGGGTCATCCTTGAATGGCAAGGCGTTAAGTTCTCTGAATTCACTGGGGCTAACTTCAGAGTAGACCTATGGGGCACCGCAC